CGCATCAAGAGGCGTTAGATATCAAAGCACCCTCCCTGCTTCTGATTTCATCTTCAAGTAACTGATGGTGGAAGATCAAACAACAAACATATATCAAGGAAACAGAGGGGCAAGAGCATATTAACATGGCAAGACCTGGAGTAAAATGTCTGAACCTGTAAGTCATGGACCCACAACCACCAGTCACCGCCCTTGATGCTCAGCGCACACTACAAGCATCAAGAGACGTTCTGGGGATATCCAAGCACTCTAGCCCTGCTTCATTGATTCACATGCTTCTAGTAGTGACAGTGAGATAATGAAACAACAGTCCACACAGAGAGGCTCAGAGAAGGTGGATATTACAGGAACCAAAATCTACAAGGTTACTGAAACACAAACAGTCACGATTCCAGCAACAAAATGGCCTGTTGTTGATCTTAAACCGACTATGCGCCATCAAGAGGCGTCTAGATATCAACCAGCACCATCACCACCTGAAAGTTCGTTCGTCCCAGTAGTGACAGGAGGATGTAACCATCATCCCTATAAAGATACGGGTAAAAGAGCATATAAAAATGGCCAGGCCTCCAACTTGAAGAGTCTCAATCTGTAAACCCATGACCCACAACCACAGTGGCCTGCCTTGATCTCCCATAGCAAACTACAAGCATCAAGAGACGTCTTGGATATCAAAGCACTCTACCCTGCTTCTGATTCATCTTCGAGTAGTGACAGTGAGAATGAAACAACAGTCCACACAGAGAGGCTAGAGAAGGTGGATATTACAGGAACCAAATTCCAAGGTTCTCAAACACAAAGTCACGATCCAGACACAAAATGGTCTGTTGTTGATCTTAAACCGACTATGCGCATCAAGAGGCGTCTAGATATCAAAGCACCAGCGCCAACTCAATGTTTGTCTTCCAATGGTGACAGTGAAAATGAAACAACAATCCACTTAGAGAAACAAGCACAAGGACATATAAATCTGGCAACCCCTCCAAGTAAAGTGTCACAGACTGTAAGTCGTGTCCCACAAACACAGTGGCCTGCCCTTGATCTCAGGCAAACGACAAGCATCAAGAGGCGTCTAGATATCAAAGCCCCGTCCCCAGTTACTGATTCATCTTCTGGTAGTGACAGTGAGGATGAAACAACAATCCACCTAAAGAAACAGGTGCAAGGGCATATAAACATGGCAAGACCTCCAAGTAAAGAGTCTCAGACTGTTAGTCATGACTCACAAACACAGTGGCCTGCCTTTGATCTTGACCATACTATGCGCATCAAGAGGCGTCTAGATATCAAAGCTTCATCCCCCCCTTCTGATTCATTATCAATCCACACAAGAAGCAGTAGTGAGGATGAGTGCAGGGACCCCAAAATGGGATTGGGAGTATCTGCCATATCAAAGACGACAGACAATCAATTAATTATATCGCCAAAGTCCCCAGTGATAAACATTTCTCGCAGTCCAAAGACTGACTACAATATCCAATTAGAAAAGTATACAGTTATCACAGATGATAAGGGGGACAAAACAAAAAGTGCTAACATGAACACAACACCAGCGATAACCCCAGAACTTGAGTCGCGCTGGGCCACAATGAATCTTGGCATCTCCCGCTTCAGAAAGCGTCTAGAAATCTCACCACTTACACGTGAACCACCAAATCTTTCCTCATTACCTCCACCTGAATCCTTCTCCTCTTCCAGTGAAAATGGGACTGGGAGTAAAAGTAGCAGAACAAGACGAGAGAGAAGGGGAGCTGGAGTATCCCAGGATCAGACCTCTCTGTATGTGGCCCAAGCTGTCAATCTCAAACCGGTCCAGCCACAAAGCCAAACTGAGGAGGTTCAGTGGACGGCCAGGGTAGAGCTCAAAAGCCAAATACCAAAAGTAGAGGAGGCATCTGACTCTGTGCGGCCTCATTTGAGTTTCCCCCGTGTCAAGCGGTCTCTGGATATCAGAGTACCATTACAAACAAAATCATCCTCCAGCAGCAATAGTGAGAATGAGAAGATAGACCCCAGTGTTCCTGACCTGAGTCTTGGTGTCCCACGCATTAAGAGGCGTCTGAATGTAAAAGCACCATTACCAGAGTCATCTTCCAGCAGTGAGAATGAAAATGAGGCGATAGGATCCACAGCAAACCAAAGCAGACTTTTGTCAAACATATCAGCAATGACAGATAATGACTCTCTAATCACCTACAAGCGTGTTATTATGAAAGCTTCGTCTCCGCCAGGTAATTCTGTCTCCTTCAGTGGCAAGGAGCAAACTGCCACAAAGAGAGTTATCAGTAAGAGTTTTGGGGGGGTAGAAAGGAAAAGGATTGAGCAACACAAACTCATATCACCTGTGGACCTGCCACCTGAGTTGAGATGGACTGGTGTTGGTCGTCAGCTGTCTGATCTGACCATCCCAAGGAGACATCTGGATGTTGGCTCATCATCCCCACAGCAGGTTCCACCTGCAGAGCCAGAACTTCCCTCGCCTGACTCCTGCAGTAGTGAAAGTGATGATGACGTAAAACAAGAGAAAGGGAAAGCAGATGTGACACTGATGAATAAACACTCATCTCTTAGTGCCAAAAGTGTTTCTCTGCCATCCAGCAGAGCTCTGGACAAGATTGGCAACCCACCAAGCAGCAGAAATGAGATTATGAAAACTGTATCTGAAGACAACAATGAAAGAAAAGGCCTCAGTGCCCTAAAATCCATGTCATCAGAGAGACGACGGTGGGACACATTGGATGAAAATGTAGATAAGAAAGCATCTCTAGACCCACTAACACAATCACGTATTTCCTCTACTTCAGCTGTTGATACAAGAGCTAAAGATGTGTTGTATGATATTCCCCATTACAGGAGGCATGCCATTGGAGGTATTAAAGCACTGCAGGGGGCTCCACCTCCTATTTCAGCCACTCCACCACCAGAGTATGAGCCAGTAGGGCTAACATGGAGGTCTCCACAGAGCAGTAAGCAACAAGGGTTTCTAGGAAGTAGATCTTATCTTGAGAGCAGAAACACAGATGAGTTTGACAGCTCTAACCCAAACTCACAAAACCTGGAAGTCAATGTTGATTCCTTAAATGTGAACATTAGTGAAGTTTGATTTTAACAGAAAGTTTCTGCAACCTAAACACTGACAAAATACGCAAATAATTGGCAGTTCAAATTCTTGATTGGCCAGTAAATGACAAATACTGTGTATTATATTTCACCATTAAGCCCTAGATGAAATGGAAATTATTTATTATATGGCACCATGTTTATTTTTCAGAATTGTCTTATTTCTGTAAATTGCTTATTTTTCTTGTGTTACAAGAACATTATACTAGGCGAAAATAACAGCATAGCATCATCATCACAGTTCCAAACTGTCTGTTTTGATTAGATCCTACGGTGGTTTTTCATTATAAAAGTTGTCTGTTATTGATTTTTGTAACAAGAATTCATATCATCTTATTATCGTCATGTATTAAACATTATAATCCCTTTACAATACAATGCTCAGCTTTCATTTGTAGATTAAGTACATCTTAATAGTGACAAATATTATAATATATTTATTTTGTCAGCACTTTTACAGGTGCTCAAAGTCGCTTTAGAGATAGTGAAAATAAATTATGAACACAATATTAACTTAAGAACCGAAATATAAGACAGTAAGTTAATAAACCCATTTTATTTATGTATATAGACATAGGTTATAGTGAAAACAGACATATAGACACTTACATACATATATACAGTTGGGACAAGGGCGTTCAACCTCCTGCATTGTCATTGGAGTACTCAAACATCAATTTCTACACAGTATTTTGTAAGCAATCCAACAACTACCTCAACTTAGATTTTATGCTGATAGTTGATGCATTGTAATGACATAAGAGGATTTCAAAGTGTCAGCTGCAGTGTACTTCAATGACAAGAGCTGATGTATTTTATCTTCACAACACAGTTCCATGTGTGTTTTTAAGTGTATCATGTGTAAATAAAAATAAATAAAAAATAGATCCTATATACTGTCTGCAGCTATCTAAAGATTTACAGCATGTTTAAGGATGTCAAAGATGGGCTAATGCAGGAGGGAACTCCTGCTCCACCGTGAGGTTACAGGTGTGTTCCAGGTCTTAATAAACACAATCATGTAGTTCATCAGAATTAACATACCATGATTGTGAATATCAAATTAAGCAAAAAACACTTGCACAAATTCCTGTACAAAACTAAAACAAGTTTGAAAAATGTTTTCAAAAATCTCATCCATTCACAAAAGGCTCTGTTGGAGCATGCATGCAAATATTAAATCTGACAATTCAGCATCACACCACAGCCAAGGACAGAAATGTATACATGTGTTACAAGAACATTTTACTAGGCAAAAATAACAGCATAGCATCATCACACAGTTCCAAACTGTCAGTGTTTTGATTAGATCCTACGGTGGTAAAAAGCAATGCTTTCAGCAAACCTACCTTTCAACTCAAGCCTTAAGGACCTCGTCCTGAGAGGGTCACTGGTCTTCCACTGTAGTTATATTAACACTGTCAGTGTTCGGAGAGATGCTACTAGTAAGAAACCTGAAACTATCAGCTGACTAAGGAGGACAAAACAGATGTCACACATCAAGACAAAATGGACACCAACCAGCTCTATCTCAATTTGTAACACAGCCCATACAGTCTGAATTCATCCTGAAAGAATCCCTGACCACTGTGTGTGCGTGTGTGTGCGTGTGCGTGCGTGTGCGTGTGTGTGTGTGTGTGTGTGTGTGTGACTTCCATGTTTTGAGGCACAAAAATACTCTTACCTACACAACGTAAATTGGTCAACGGACCAATAAATGCTGATCGGAGCACTATTGGCTCACCACTGTACTGTAAGAGTTGGTAAGCAGCAATGCTGATTTGTTTGGTGTTATGAGGTCTGAAGCCTTTACAGAGGGTAAGCAAACGGTTAGCTTTAGCTGGAGCAAAACAGCAGGAAGGAACAAAACTGGAGGGGAAAAAAGAGAAAAATCACTGGCACAAATCAATAGTAAACAGAACAGGCACCAGAAACCTGCGATCAATCATTTGACACAGTGTGCTTCTTGTAGAACTCCTATCCAACAAAAAATATGACAAACCAATAGTTAGTGCCATCAGTCCAGAAAAAGCTCAAGTTCATTGCACAGATGTATAATATTTAAATGTGCCCAGGTCAAAGTGGCCCTGTTTAAGACTCAGACACAATGCATGAATGGTCACGGTTTCACAGCTTCTCTGTGCTTGTAGAGAAGGACTGAGGAGTGGTTCTCCCACACAAACCATTTTGCTTCCATCGTCCACGTATGATACCATGTTAACACAGACAGCAATATGACATGTCACAGTGAGAGCAATGCCACTGGGGATTGCTGCAAGCTTGCCCACTATGCACTTCGGTAGGGAACATAACTTCCACAATGGCAGTCCTCCACCTCCGCGCTCCGGGATGCATGCACCCAGGCTGCAAACCCAGTGTCCCCACCCTAGCCCCCCAACAGAACCCCTCCTTTATCTGGAAGCACCCACAGTCACTGCTTTACCATTTTTGTATTGTTAACTTATTGGTTGTTGATTCTCATAGTCGTTGTCACAGTTGTATTTTTATTCCTTTTTACACTGCCCTATGACATCTGTCTTTCCTTGTACCATTCCACAAACTCGTCCAACAAAACTGGCCCTGAAAAAGGAACAAGACCAAAAAGATGATATTAGACAAACAATATTTGAGTAAGAGTAACATAAACAACTGTTGTCACGTTTTTGTGTAAATGTGTGTTCACTCACAGGCACCATCCTCATCGTAGTTACTGAGGTCCAGGTTGATTGTCCTGCTGAACTCTAAAACATTGCACCATTGGTCTTTGTTGATGACTTTGTACTTGGATTGCTGAGGAAAAGTAAACACATGCCTTATTAATATAGTACAACAAGTTCTTTAAACCCTAACCAGACATTTATTTAAACAATGTTGCCTACAACTACTGTATTGGGTATATTTGATCTGAGCAAATGTTGTAGAGAGAATATGTGAACATGAGGCTTACCTCTAGAAACTGATTAAACACAGGAAACAGAGGCCACGTCTTGCCCAGAAGAAGCCCAAGCATACACTTTGCTGTGTTCAAGTCCAAACTCCTCTGATCCTTTTCCTGCCCAATCAAAGACACCCACGGCTTCATGAAATCATTGCAAAGGGGCAGTCTAATAACATCTTTATCATCAACATTAGCCCAATACAGAAAAAAGTCTTATTTCCTTAACCCACTGCTGTAAAGTTCAAAAGAATATAACATTTTTATCACAATCACTGCGTCATGTTTTCATTCATTTTTCCATTCACTCTAAAAGAGTGAGTTGCTTTCCATAAATCATGGCACAATGTCTTCATGAGAGAAAACTCAGGCTATGTAAATATGCAACACATTTGATAAGTGCTTTCCCACTCCAAGTCAAACTGGAAAATGATCTTGACCTCCTCAAAAGCGTCAAGATTGGTCTGAACATTGGCTTGAATAAGACCTTATGAGAATTTCAATCGGGCACACTTAGCACAGGGATTATATATTTAAAATGAACTGAATTTTTTCACAATGCTGTGTGTGTAAGCGGAAAATACTTTTTCTTAACTCACCCGAGCAAAATCAAAGGCATATCTATATATGAGCTTAAAACTGGTGCTGTCGTTTAGTACAGATCTCAGGTAGTCGAGCGAGTTCCTCAGCCTTTCTGTGGAGTCACACCTGATAACGGCAGAAAATTGCTTTAGACATACTCTACACTTCACTACCTGCTCTACTCTAGAAAGACATGACTAGAGACAGAGCAAACACACAGCAATGCCACAATCATTCTTGAATACAGCAGAAATGCAGAAATACACAGAGTAGGCAACGGACATACTGCAGTGAGCCCATGCCTCTCAGCCACTCCTGGAGAGTGAAGTATCCCATACTCTGCGCGTCCAGCTTCCACGCAAGAACCAGCATCACCACCTAGGCACAGACAAAATCCTTTATAGCCACAGATAATGTGTCAATCTATCAACTGAATGACATGTCTATTACAAGTCGAACACAGAAAACAACTGACCTCAGTAACACTTGAAAAAGAAAACGAGTTGAAAAATGTAGTGCTCTTTAAAAATAAAAGTGTTTTGAATAAGTTACTATTGATTTCATGTTGGTTATGCTAACTGTTCATTGTTAATAAATCTGAAGTTGTGAATAGCCATCAAATCCCACAGTCCAAAAGTGTCCTTAAATGAATTGCTTAGTTTGACTGACAGCCAGAAATAAAACAATTATTGAAAAACGAGCAAACGGTGACCACCACCGATATAACCAAAATACAAGAAGTCAGCTTACATTCTCTGGTTCGACTCCGATGTCCTCACATAACTTCTCCATGCCCTCGGGACCCACCACGTCATCACAACCTATTTAAGACCAACAAGTGTGAAGCCACATGTAGCTAAAAACATACGTCATTGATCGGTGGTCAAATGCTAATGTAAATTAAGTGATTACTTGCGCACATTTTTCACCTGCATATTCATAGAACCACTCCAGGCATCTTTTACTGGAAAATGTTTCCTCCTCACGGATTTGTGGTGTTTCATGTTTTCTGAAAACGCTGCAGATGAAAAGAGAGTTATGTCTCAGTTTCAGTTGTGACACACAAGCAAATCATTTCAAAAAGTACTCAATATGATTTAAAGGGCTCTTTGTAGTCTGGGTATCCTAACATGCCCACATTCATCTTTAATTAGAGACAATAATCAAGAGCTCCTTAATAACCAACAAGACCAAAGCAGTCGTTTTGCCACCTCTAACACAAGAGTTGTCACACCTGTCCTGGCGACTTTTTTTGGCTGACATGTCATCTCCAGCTGAGGGTCTCCTCTTTTTCCTAGGAGGCATGGCTCTAGAGCAACACGCTAGGGAAGGAAATGGAAGACAGAATGAAAGAGGGCTACTTCTAATTAATACAAAGATAATGCTTATTTTCTCTTGGTAGTCGTGTATGTACTCTATAAGAAACAGCTTTAACAGTAGCTAAGCATGACTTTCATAGCATTGACAATGGTGAGTTTTTATACATAGACTATGAAACACACAAGGGCCAGGTGATTTTACCTGAGGGGAGGCTATCCTGTCCAACGTCTTCTGTCAGGTTCTATTGAAAAAGACACACTTGTGATTAGGACACAGATGAACACACTCACAAAAATAAAATATTCAACATGTGACCAGCTGCCAAAATGTATTTACCAGCCTATGCAAGGTGTGGTGGATCTTATGGATGCTGGCCAGTGTAGTCAAGTGGGAACTCAGCTGTAAATCTATTTCCACAAAAGAATAAAGATACCATCAAACCAAAGCATAACACAAAACCTTCTGCCCCTAATTTAACTTGTTAGCTTGGTGTGTGAGCACAAGGGTACAAGAAGGTGACATCATCGTAGCACCAACAGGAACCTGGGATTTTAATGTTTGGCAAAGGTCTTCAGTGTCCAAATGACTGTCGTGTGATTTCTACTTTAAGGGTTGACGTCTCAAACGACAAAAATATCTAACACGAATGAAGGAGTGACTCTCTGCATTCCTCGAAAGGCAACACAACTCGATGATTCTTGATCGTGCATGCTACCTTATCGAGAAATATCATCCAAGCATTCCCGTCCAAACGCTGTTATCAAACACCGATGCTTTTAATGTATTTGTAGAGGCCAAAACCAGAGGAAAAGCTCACTCCCGAGCAGATAGCACTAGCTGCATACCTAAAATAGCAGTGCAGACCCGCAACTTGCACAGAGTTTACAAAGTATCTAGAGAGTTGGGCGTATGGTTGTTGTAGTCCATTTCCTTTAAAGGGGCCATTGCAAACTCTGCTCCGGTTGTGAAACTAAACTACAATTCCCAAGCCTTAACTAAACAACTATTTCTTTCAGACCCCTCTACCCCCAACACTTACTCTGTCAACTGATTGAATGCATTATACGTTGTCTTGTAAAAATCTAACATCATATTCCGAGTGGTCCACAAGCATTGCGCAGACGTTTTGGAGCAGTTGCTGTTTGTGCCGCAAAGCCCGACAGCACTGCTGCAGCAGGCAGTGAAATATGTTTTCCAAAACTGCGTCACAATTTTCTTTCTCTGTAATAGTCCGCAGTTGCCCAGAAAATTGACCTATTTATAATGGCAATACGTTCATACTAAGTTCGAGTTGAAACACACAATGCATCTTTAGTTATGGTGACTAAAAACATCACAACGCACAGATTACTATCAAAAACCTTCGAGATTTAACTAACGTCGGCTGCATTAAACTGAGCCCTGCTAACACTACACAGAAAAATCACTCCAGGATGACTGACGTGTCAAATAAAATACACTGCATGTCCAAAACAACTAAAATTACTCTAGCTATCCTTCCTTTGTTGTCGCCCAAGACAACACTGGCAAATACAAAGGGACGGAATAGCACGGAATTCATCCGTTCCCATCCGTCCAACAGAGACACGGGCTAAAAGTAGATGTAAAAACACATCGTATGTATCTCCGACAAACTGCAGCATCCGTGAAGGTTCGTAATTTGATACAGAAAAGCCTCGATAACGTTACTACTTACTTGCCGCATCAGAGTGCATTTTTATGAAACATACAACTGTCTGTGGGAAGTCCTGAGACCGGCCAATAGGCGGGCCTTGTCCACGTAAACCACGCCCCCAGACGGTGATTGGATCTGGGAAAGCTCAGTCCCCGCCTCTGGTCGCTGCATATTTGCCATTCAAGGTGTCATGTAAAGAGGAAAAGAGGAAAAGTAAATAGATCCCGCCTACGCACACATGTGATAAGTCAGAGTTTCCAAACAGGTTGCACTTCCTCTGTGATTCATTGGTTATGAGGTTATTATGAGCACGCCAGTCACCAGAGTTTCCACGTGCACGCTTAAAGCCAGCCCACGATGGAGTCTGATTGGTCAATGTGGTAATAATTCGGCCTCCCGTTGAAGCTTTCTGTTTGCCTCATGGATGCGAACCATGTGAACTCAACAACCTGGAGCAAGCTGGTGGCGGTGTGTATGACAACGTGAGTTATGTCTCAATTCATGATGACCCAACTAAAGCCGGCAGTGCTTGTCATTTCTCTGCAGGGGTGGGAAATAGTCTGTGTTATGGTCTGGTCCTCTCCCAAGTCATGCTTCACTTGCATACAGTTTGGCAACCGTGAGCAGCGCTATTATCAGGTGACTGAAAAATCCTTAGTTATGAGTTAAAATCATAGACTGTATATAAAGGTTAACATCTGTTACCTTGACTGCAAGGTTCAAGGGTTCAAGGCTTTTATTGGTCATACCCATACTTGCCAACCTTGAGACCTCAGAAATCGGGTGCATTTCAAAACCACCGCGGGGAGGGGGGGGGACTGTATTAGATTAACATCTACACATGCTTATTGTAGTTGTAAGTGCATTGTCTTGCAGCCTGTAGCACCATCCTTGATGGAGCATATGTGTGGGCTGGACCTGTATTTTTCAGGAAAGGAGTGAGCAGAGGGTATAGTTGTCGATTCTTGTTCTGTTTTCTGTGACTATCTGCCTCACCCTCTCAAACTTTCAGTTGCGCACGCTACTAAAGAGACGCGCTACCATGGAAACCAAACAATGGTGTAGCTGTATTAAAGTCCGAGTGGAAACAGTCCTTAAATCTGATTTTGTCAGAAATCGGGAGAAATATGACCCCGGGAGGAAACCGGGAGAGGGCAATGAAATCGGGAGTCTCCCGCGAAAATCGGGAGGGTTGGCAAGTATGGTCATACCATACCTCCATTACATAGGCAGCTACAGTGTAGTTATGAGGATGAACATTTTAGGTCACAGGCTCCTCCAACAGTGCAACACAATAAAACAGAAAAAACTAAAAGAATAATAGTGAAATAAGAGTCTATATGGGCCATTCTACCGAATTGGACCAAAGTCAGTTTGGAAATGTTTGGACATTTTGTATGGTTTTTTCCCAAAACTTTGTCCATATATATTTTGTACCATATCTAAATTACACATATCTAGTAAAAGAACCGTACATTTTTATATCGTATTTTCAGGAATATTGGAATGTTCTTCCTCTTGAAGTTGTAGTAGTTGAGACCTTAGTTATACTGTCATAATCTGGTAAAAATGTTTCTTTCAAACCTTACGTACTAAATACTTTACATATTTAAACTTGAAACTTAATTTTTTAGTGAAAAGTAATTAGGATTAACACTTTTTGGGGAGTTATATTAGGTAAGGAATTTTATGATAAATGCTCTTTCCTTTCCATTATATGTATAGAATTGCTAATTTTCCACCCATCCATTCAGAAACTCCTTTGGCCGAGCGTCTACATGTGAAAAACAATTATAAGGTAGCCTTATCCGAGAATGTAGGGCTATCGTTACTATAGGAATTCCGAAACTGTTGTTTAGTATTTTTTTTACAGGGATAGACACCGCTTTCGGATCGTTACTATTTTCATGCTGGTTAGTATAAAGTCTGCCGGGGCCGAATTTTATTGAGCCTACCGGTATTCGACGGACAAGTCGGAAGGTATGACACGTGTTTGAATAGAGCAGCGGGAGTAACGTACAGCGCGGAAGGCACACACATAGCCTCCTGCCCCGAGACATTCGCCTTCGGACCGTCTAAACACAGAGGCCGAGCACATGAAAAGTTTGAGATCGCGGAGCTCGACCGAAGTAGAGAGTTTTAATGGAATGCGGGTGCAAATTATATTACGAAAAAATGATGTCATTCTTGACATGATGAGCAAAGCCATTACTGGTAAAT